AAAATTAGGCCCTTCTCAAATTCATAACATACATTCTAACGTCAAAATTTGATAGATTATACAAATGGCTAAGATATTGAAGTGACAAAATTTATCTATATATTATCTGTAATATCGTAAAAAAAACACCTAAAAAATTTGAAACAAGATATATATTTATATATATATATATATATATATATACCTATTGACTTGAGCGAAAAACCAATCCTCACTGTAATCACACTCTCCAATTGTGTAGGTTAGATCCTCATTAGGGTATAAATCTGTATAACGATTCCATAATCCGTATTGTCTGAATCTGCGAATTTACAAAGTTAAACGTGATAAGACAAAAGAGTTTATGTTAAGATTATAATATATATATATATATATATAAGAATTGGAAAGGTTTTGTTAAGAGTAAGTAACTTGTTGTTATAGTTGGTTGCAGGTAATCCATTCATCAACGTTGGGTAAGGATCTGGAATGTAAAATTCTCCAGCAGTTCGATCTGGGATACCGATTTCCCACATTGTAGGACCATTTCTTGGAGGCTGATATACCAAGCTACCTAATTTGATGGTACGCCCTATTTTTGAAGAAAACAAAACAATTAAAAGGCCTAGAAAAGAAGGAAGTAAGAGAATGAAAAGGGTAAATGTGTGTGTGTATGTATGTATGTATGTACCTGGATCGATCTGAATGTCAACGTTATACTTATAATCTCCAATAAAGCCAGGAACCCATGCATATAGATTATAAGTCCCAGGTCTGATATTATTGATTGTGAAATACCCTCTATTGTCTGTCTGAGTCCAGAACTGATAACCCTATAATACAAAACTAAACAATATTAACATCACTTAATAATATTAATATAAACTAAGTATGAATTAAACGAAGAAAATCAGTCGAAAGTATATCATAAGAAGGTCAGAAAGAGAAAACAAAGGTGGCAATGTAAATCCACCTTGGCTTCTGTTTGCCACGATCCAGTTTCTCCAGGAGCAGCCAAACCCACAGAGGCAAATCTTGGCAAGATAATTTTCGCGTTTATATACCTATAGAAATACCAATATAATCAAATCATTTAATGAATATATGTATATATTGTTCTTAAATATTAAAAATAAAATGTAATTAAGACTGTGTTTGGTGATTGAAAATACCTGTCGAGGACTTGTAATTGACCTGCTACTGTTCCTCGCTCCTCTGCACGAGGGAAATCTTCTGATTCTACGAAATCGTAAGGCCAGCTTTGTACTTCCCTAACCATCTGATTAAATAAAATTTGTTTAACTTAATCATATGTAATTAACTTAACATAAGTAAAAATTAATTTTTTTTACTCATTAATTAACCTGTCTTTTGGCATCTTCCCAAAGATTTTTGTTGCTCTGTTCTGGAGACTGACGAGACTGAGAGTTTAAATAAACAAAAACAGGACCAAAAACTTTCTTCCATGTCTCTCCATTTCTATATTCTGTATCCACCTCTTTCCCAGTATAATGAGTGCTAGTAAACATCTTGAGAAAAAACAAAAACAAAAAAAAAAATTATTACAATTAAAAATAATAAACCAGACAGTAAAAATTAAAATTAACTTTTGGGTAAATTTGTTTTTTTTTTTTTTTTTTTTTTGAACTTCATTGCAATCGGGTTCGTTAAAGTTAAAAAATTATAATATAATGTTCAATCTATAAATTAATATATAAAAAAAAAAAAATTATGTAAACTAATTTAAAAAATGTGAGGCGATGAACTTACGGAAGGGGTGGTGGGTCCCACATGGGA